TTTCTTTTACTACACGTCGACATGTTAAACTAGAAATATTCCAGTATATCACTTTCGTAATAAGAATGATGTTATGCAATGATAGCCCTTTAGTGCCTGTCTGTCTCACCAATAAAATTGATTCTTCGCATGTCTATGGCTGATCAGCTGCTCACTGTAAATTTGTTGAAGCAGAACAAAGTCTCATGCTGCCCCACTGAAGCTTCTCTGAATAAGCTGGTTAGGAAAATAGAACATGACGAGATTCTGAAATTTTCTGGTCTGTTTAACACTGCATTAACAGTAGCAAAACATGGCTAAAGTTTCATGGATTTTGCAACTGTTGTCAAAGAACAGACATAACAAGACCTTAATCTTGGTTCAAATTATGTCAACTCTCATGGTAGATAGGATTTGGTGTACACTTAGAAATTCTAAAGTATTTGGTCCCTCTTAAATCTGAGAATCATGCAAGCACAAAGTATATGATAAGATGCTTATTAATTGCACTTTAAAATGATTCTTTATTGTTTTATGTCAATTAGGAAAACAAGGAGAAGTGGAATATTCTGCTTTTAAAGTTTGTATAAAGAATGATACATGAATAATGTAAACAAATTTTGGCACAAAAATCGAAAAAGCCCAGCACCAACCAGAACTTTTTTAAAATTTCGGTTTGTTATCCTTGGTAACAATTAGGGATGCACCGATACCAAGTACCTTACTCAGTACAAGCACAAGTACAGATACTTTTCGAGCTCCAAGACTAGACTAGAGAAAAATTCAAAAGTTAGGAGGCAGCTGTCATTTGTAAGGAGCATACAAAGCTCCTGGGATTTGTACATCTCTGTTTTAAAGTATGATTTTGTTTTTATAAATATAAATAAAGGGATGCACCGATACCAGTTTTGCAAGTACAAGTACTGATAATTTTTCCGTTTATTGTCATGTGACAGTTTTTCTAAAACAATACAGACTAATGATTTCAGGACAGTGGTGGAGAGCCAGAGCCAGGTCCCAGCTGCAACTTCTGCAACCCCGGTAGTTCTCATGAAAATGCCAAGTATCGGCATTGGTACTCGAAAAGTATTGGTGCATCCCTAGTAACAATAAATAGATCTGTCATGTTTGTATTGCTGGGTGTAACACACGTTGGGGAGATTTCGTCTCGTTTTCCCTCTTTTTGACACCAGGACAAGAAATGAGGGGAGTGGTGGTCACTGGGGCAGGAAAACACAGAAATAATAATTTAACAGTGTTCCCCATTTTACTATTAAAAAGGGTTTTATTGTAGGCTTTATCCCCTCTGGAGAGATTTTACATTACAATTTTTTTATTGCATTAAAGGTTGCACTTACATTATCTTCGATTGAACAAATAACACATAAATGAATACATATATAACTAAAATGCACGGTGAAGTTTTGGGCTACAATGCTAGTCTGCTACAATGGAAGCTGCCCCACAGTAAATGAAAAGATTTGCAATTATGTTCAGGCATTCCTGAGAGTCACATAGCCAGACAGGATCTGATTCATTTTTTTCTGCTCTTGGGAGGAGTTATGCACATATAAAAATATCTTGATGGGTGGATATCAGTCTGGAAGGAGTAGGTGTTCCTACACAGACTGCATTTTCATGAAGACAACCGTAGGTAACACCCACATGTGATACTGGGCATCCATATTTAAAAGAACTGGAATCCAATGAATGAAAGGGCGGGCTAGTAAGGCTGGGAAGGAACAGCCTATGCAATGTTGGATGTCCTTCAGTCAGGAAATGAGGTGTGCTTTTTCTGACTTGATGCTTCTAATGTGAAAAGCTCACAAGGTGCACTGAAATCAAAGTAAGGAGTTAAGTCCAGGAGAGGAACCTGTACAACCGTGAAAGACTGAAAGCAAGGTAGGGAAGTCTGAAGTTCAGATTTAGGGAGCTCCTGGAGCTTGGTCCACCATCAATTTGGGCAGGATAATACTAGTAGTTTACTTCTTTCTAGTGTGCTTCCATGTTAGTTTGTATCATTATGTGACTGATATTATATATTAAGGGGGTTTATGGCAAGGAGAAAATTGAATGGTTGAATGTTCTCTGTGAAGTCTTGTTGAATTTGTTTGTGCTATATAAATGAGTAAGCTATTAGTAGGAATTTCACACAGACACATCAACAATTGATGGATATAAAGCAACCAACATATAACCATTTTCAATGCAAAAACATCACACTTAATCACTGCTTTCTGTAGCTGCAGTTTCGAAGCCCATTCCTAGGCCACACAGATATAAATCACTCCGATCAGAAAGCCCCACTATAATCGACCTCACAATCCCATAAGCATTTGTTGCGTTCTACCAATCGCAGATTGTATAATGTAAAGTTGCCTCAGGTGGAATTTATTGACTCTAGAGACTAGAACTGCACATTTCCATCCTGTGACCTATGAACAACACACATCTTTCTTCAAGTTAATAATAATATATATAT